GTGCATGTCTCTGCCTGCGTCTGCATGTAGCCACCATCCTGTACTGAGGTGCAAGTTCACACTGGCCATGCACGTGTGAGCTGACACATATGTATGTACATGTCTCTACCTGTGTCCGCATATAGGTGCCATCCTGTACTGAGTGAGGTGCGAGTTCACACTGGCCATGCACGTGTGAGCTGACACATATGTATGTACATGTCACTGCCTGCGTCTGCATGTAGCCACCATCCTGTACTGAGGTGTAAGTTCACACTGGCCATGCACGTGTGAGCTGATACATATGTATGTGCATGTCTCTGCCTGAGTCTGCATGTAGCCACCATCCTGTACTGAGGTGCAAGTTCACACTGGCCATGCACGTGTGAGCTGACATGTATGTATGTACATGTCTCTACCTGCGTCCGTGTATAGCTGCCATCCTGTACTGAGTGAGGTGCGAGTTCACACTGGCCATGCACGTGTGAGCTGACACATATGTATGTGCATGTCTCTGCCTGCATCTGCATGTAGCCACCATCCTGTACTGAGGTGCAAGTTCACACTGGCCATGACGTGTGAGCTGACACGTATGTATGTACATGTCTCTACCTGTGTCTACGTATAGCTGCCATCGTGTACTGAGTGAGGTGTGAGTTCACACAGGCCATGCACATGTGAGCTGACACATGTATGTACATATCTCTGCCTGCATCCACATGTAGCCACCTGTACCCACCTCAGTGACTGAAGCATGAGTTCACAGAGGTGTCTCTGATTTTACTCCCGCCACATTGGTGGCTCTGAGGAGACGATCCTCCAGGTAACAGTGTCCCATGTCCTGGATACCCACAGCATCCTCTGCACAGGCTCTCTCCCTGCACCTTCACCTGCCTCACCCCTCCCTTCACTCAGGTTCCAGCTCGCACGTCCACAGAGAGGCTGTCCCCACTCCCTACCACTAAAAGCAGCCCCCGAAGCCCTCTGCCCCTTGAACGCGGCCCCCATGTTCATACCGCCAGCGTCCCTGCCTCTGCTCCTTCCACACCAGGGGGACCCCAAAAGCGGGCTCAGCCCTGCTCCTGGGTTCCAGGTGTCTCCCTCCGTACCCATCTGCGTGACTGGTTTCAAAATGCCACTTTCCTCTCATTCTTTACTCAGGAACGACCCCTGGCTTCCTGACATCATTGTCTGCAGCATCTGTGACTCGCTCGCACAGAGCCCTGCCTGCCACACGCGCATCCGGCCTCCATTCCTGATCTCCCACAAGAAGGTAAGCGTCGTGAGGACAGGGACGTCCCTGTCTGGTGTCCCGGGTCTCCCCAGTCCCAGCATGGCGTAGTGCACAGCAGGCTCTCGATGCTTGCTTCTGGAATAAATATTCACGTCGAGGGAGGAACGAGGCTGCCGATCAGAGACGGAGACAGGCAGTGCCCAGCCACGCAGTTCCCCAGGGAGCTGTCCAAGGTGCCTGCTGGCCAGACCTTCCAACCCACTCTCAAGTGGCAGCTACAGAGCCTGTTCCAGCTTCACCCCCTATTCCTGACCTTTAACATTACAAGTTATTTCTGAATTAATGAAAGAAGAGAACACGTGCTCATCAATATCAGGCCCACCTGCCTCCTCAGAGCAACTGATTACTGGTACACTCTCCCTCGTGGCTGACGCCTGGCCTCAGACAGTACAACAGAGGTCACACACGTGGCCTTGGGACACTGCTGGAGGAGTGATGCTGGGAAAGTTCATATGAGCAAGGCATCCGTGCTCTGAAGGTTGAGGAGCTGCCGGGACATTACTGCCCTCGATGTACCTCTGACCTTAGCAAACTGCCACTCTCAGAGAACAAGATTCTGCTTGCCTGGAGCCCAGACAGCCAGCGGGTTCAGCAGAGCCCACGGCCACCCTACCTCCAAAGGGGTCATCCCACATGGGAGCGAGACGGCAGCTCGTAGCCGGCACCCAGGAGCTAGGGCCATGGTGAGGGGGTGCCATAGGGAATCCTCATGGAGGCAAGCTGCCCCAAACCATCAGCAGCATGGACTAGGCACTGCATCCTCAGACCCAGGAGCCGCCCAGCTCAGCACCAACTACTCAAAGCATAGCCTGTGCCCCAGCAGTGAGGCCTGAAGCACCCATCTGGTCATATTCCTGGCAACTTCACACTGCTTTTCTTCATGCACTGTGCAGCAAAGCCCCACATGATGATGGAAGGATGTATGTCCAATACATCGAGGACATATGTCCACCGTGTTGAAGAAGAGGCTCCAGAGCAGAGCCGTGAGGGTTGGGGACAGGGAAATGGAACAAGAGCGCCTGGCTGAATAAGTGGCAACAAGGAATGTAAAAGTGGACCCAGTCAGCTCTCCAGCTGCCAACCAACAGCAAAGGAAAGAAGCCCAGAGATCTCTGTCTTGCTGAAGGCAGGAGACATCCAGAGATCTGAGAGTAGGGTCTGGTCGTAGACAGCTGGGTGCATCTTTGCTGCTGTCCAAAATGGGGGCAAAAAGGAAAGCTGGCATCCATGTTTGACAGAGGACCCAAACTGGCTCTCACAGCCTAGGGTTCTTCCAGGAGCTGGGACTGCCTCCCCACGGCCACTTCAGGCATCCATGAGGGGGCATGCAGCCCCCAGGGTGAAGGGTCATTTTCTCCCATCTGGGCTATCTCTGCATAACTGGCTCTTCTTCCATGCCTTTTGTCATGCTCACCACAATGCACCCCTTCATTTCTGTATACCATCTCGTTCAGGGCCTGGGACAGCGTCAGTGCTTATAAACTACCTTTTGGTGACACGTGTCCCAAGAGGATTTTAAGCTTCCTTGTAAGGGGTTAAGGAGTAACTGAAACCTGTAATGGCTCAGCTAATAAACACCCCAGTTTAGGGGAGACTAATCACCCGGCTGCTTTCCTATGATTACTATGTATTTTCACTGCCAAAAGATGCAATACAATTTCATGGTTACTTGGCCCTGTAAAATAGAAATACCCCAATTTTTAAGATATGAAGAGGTTTATAACCAGGGTACTGTCAGTTCAAGAATGAGTCCCTGGTACAAATGAGTCAATTCATAACAAGATTTAATTTCAAGAAAATTAACTCAATAAAGATGCCACAATTGTGCTTAAAGTTTTAATACCTATTAGGAGTTTTCGGGACGCGGTGCAGAACACGGGCAAGCCGATCCATCTTTTGGCTCCTCAAAAATGCGACTGACTTATAATACCTAATTTATTCGTAATGGGGACAGTATTACAAGGAACTCTGTGTTTAATGAGGGAAGTCTGGGCCTCAAACAGCCTAACCAATCACAAAAATGGAGAGTATTAGCAATTTACAGGATATTAAGTTTTGTTTCCTGTAATATTATGGAGAGCCGATTAATAGCACTAGACTGACAGTTACTTTAACCAGACAGCCCAAGGTAAGGCTTTATGTCCCGGCAGATGCTGCTGGCCAGAAATTCTGTAGCTGCCAAACACTTAGAAGAGCAAAACCCAAGTGGGGAACTTCAATGACAGTCTGCTGACTGGTGATCATCTCCGTGGTGAGATCACTGGACCACACGAGCAGCACGAAGGAAAAGCAAAAGTCAAAACACAGGACTTCAGATCATGAAACACACACCCACCAAGGGGCACACTGGCCAGCAGCCGGTGCCAGGGGCAAAGCTTTGGGGCATCGTTCTAGATGACTCATACGAAGTCAGGCTCAGAAGAAGAGACCGGAGAGCATGGAGGCCCAGCAGGCGCCCAGTCCTGCAGGAAGAACGCATCCAGCCTGAGGCCCTGTGGGGAGGGGCTGGTCAGAAAGACCCCCAGGCCTTCTCCAACTGCTCTGGAACCAATGCAGTGCTTGGGACCTATTTGGCCTTAGAAAAAGCCAGCCACCTAGAGCTCCCCTTTATAGAAATCCCCGCCCCCAGCATCAGCCTCCAGGGGCGGCCGGCCCCCTGCAAAGCCGGAACACACAGCCCATGAAAGGCTGTGCTCACTGCAGTAGAAAGCCTGGCTCTTGAGGTGTCGGGATGAAAACCGCCCATATGCATCTCTCTTTAGCACTCTGTAGAGATTTGATTCCTAATCCCACATAATGGTGCCTGCTGTTTGTAACTGACGATGAAAGGCTGGCGCATAAACCCCCCCCACGGCACCGCCTCCACTTCAGCAAACATCTCCAACAAAATGAAAAGGTGCTAGAATAAGTGACAGGACACTCAAGGGAACAGAGGTGGCTTCTTCCAGAAAACTCAATCTCCTCAAGAGCTGAATTTCATCAGAACTGGTAAAGAGTAGAAAATTTCATGCTGCACTGAATCTGTGATTTTAAAAAATATTTATTATACACAACTCAAAGTATAGACAAGGTGTGAGTCCCGAGCGTGAGTTTTTTGGCAGAAGTAGCTCAAACTCACAGCAGTCACCAGCACCCCGCGCATGCGCCGAGCACACTGCTCAGAACGTAACTTGCCAGCGAGCACATCGCCACGCAGGCAAAATGAAACTCAGCCACAAAGAGAACGGCCTGAAGTTCTTTTCCCTGTTTTACATCATCTATCTATCTATCTATCTATCTATCTATCTATCTATCTATCTATCTATTTGAGATGGATTCTCGCTCTGTCTCCAGGCTGGAGTGCAATGGCACGATCTTGGCTCCCTGCAACCTCTGCCTCCCAGGCTCCAGAGATGCTCATGCCTCGGCCTCTGAGTAGCTAAGACTACAGGTGATTTTTTTGTATTTTTTGTATTTTTAATAGAGACAGGGTTTTGCCATTTGCCCATGATTGGTCTCGAACTCCTGAGTGTGGGCAATCCACCTGCCTGGGCCTTCCAAAGGGCTAGGATTTACAGGTGTGAGCCACCGTGCCTGGCCAGCAGCATTCTTTCTACAGATCAGATTTCAATGGAGAGAGTGATCTGAAAGCAAAACCAAATGCAGCACGCAGGCCAGGGCAGAAGGCGACAGGAAACGGCCGGGCTCCCGGCACCCACGGTGGGGAGGGGTGCGAAGCGGAGCTCACCTGGTAGGTGTCCCAGAGGCGGACGGTGCAGTGCAGGGGCAGCTCCCTCATGAGCAGGTTGTTCATCCAGCGGAAGGCAAACTGCAGGTATCTCACCTCGTGCTGGTCCAGGTGCCGGTGCACTTGCTCTGCACGAAACAAACACAGGCCCCAAGGCTGTCAGGGGAGCCCTCTGGAGGCACTGACACCCAGTTCACTGTGCCTCCAAGGCCCTGCACCCGCCTCAGAAGCCCACTTCGACAGGGAATCCCAAGTGGCAACCCCTGAGGAGCAAAGAATGCAATCTATTAATGAGAGACGACAGCGCTCCCTTCCTAGAGGAGAGGGAAAGATGGCGGCGCTGCCCACGTGATGATTATAATCACGGCCAGGTTCGGGCGCTTCATGCCCTAACACCCAGGAAGATGGGGGGGGCTCGGGTCAGGGTGTCCACAGATAGGTGCTCTTTCCCCTATTCCACAGAAGCTTCACAGACCCAAGCTGGTGTCCCAGAGGGACTTAAAGACACAGAGGAGATAAGCTTGCCTGCTCCCCGAGAGGGGCCCAATCTTGTCCAGGGAAATGCTCCACCTGTGCCTGGACCAAACAGTTGAGTGGGTGGGTGGGACACGAGGGTGGCAGGCCAGGTGGACGACACCCCTGCATTCCAGGATGGGGACACGCCTGAAGACCGCTGCACCTCTGGAAAGAGCCAGGCTTTCCCAAGCATCACTCCCAGAAGCCACGTGTGCTCCCGTCGTTCAGCTGTGGTGGCGGCAGCCCTGCAGCCTGAGCTCCGGCCCTGCATGCCCTGCCTCACCCACTGCTGAGTCCTGGAGCTGTCACTCCCGGAAGGAAAATCCCGGTGATCATGGTGCCTATGCTCCTCTTTCCAAGGTTCTGCCCGTGAAGTCCTACTCTAAAGAGCCTAGAAGAACGGATGCTCCTTTATACAAACAAATCATAATTGCTGATGATTGCCAAATTGAGCCAGATTGTGGATCCTTGATTTTTAAAACACAGGTGCACCCCAGGGCTGCTGACAGCCCTCTTGCTGAGCTCACTTCCTTACCCCTGCTTCCAAGTTACACCTTCCTTCTCTCCACGCTTACCTCACCCTGGCTTGCCCTGAGAAAAGATCCTATAAAACTTCACAGGGATCTCCATTCAATCCCTCAAAGAAAGTTCTAGAAATGACAAACAAAAACCAGAGAAAAGCTAGTGTGCTGTGGACTGGTTTGTTTCACGCAAGTCCCTGGTAAGTTGCAATATTTCAGCAACAAGTGAGAAGCAGGGTGAAGAGGCATAGCAGGGTCCATCAGCAACGCCCTGAACCTGAAGGGCCAGGGGCTCTGCCAAGACACACGAATGCCCGCCTGGACATCAGGGCCGTGGGACTGGGAGCTGCCGTCCCTTAAGGACAGGGGCTGGTTTCCAAGAAGGCTACGCTAGGCTGGCCCTGGGAAAACACAGGCAGCTCTTTTCCCCATGATAGGACCCTGCTGTAACGGGAGCTGGTCCCTTCACTGTCTCTGTCTTCGCTGTCCCCCTCCTCCCCTAAACCTCTGCTGTCCTCGGACCAGAGCAAGCGCGCTGGGCAGGACTCCCGTGGGGCTAGGTGTCAGGGACGCCTGCAGGGTGAGGCCCTGGTTCACACTTTGGGGTAGATGCAGCAACACACACTCTACTCCCACAGGATGGTGAATAATTAACTGTGGAGACTGCGGAACTGGGCGGAGCAGAACAGCAAACGCTCCCCTCGGCCCCAGGGGCAAGCCTGGGAGGAAGTCACAAGGGAGGCTGGACTGTCTTGCCACAACCCCACAGGACTGCCCACCAGGAAGCTGCCTGGACCCACAGGCACCCATACACCCACGACTGCGTGCTGCCTCTGCAGTGGCAAACATGAGCACCAGGGCTCCAGGCCCTGCAGAGAACAGGTACGAGCTGGCCATGCAGGCCGGGCAAGCAGGTGGAGGTGGGGTCCCTGGCAGCAGGGCAGCCTGCACCGCGGCTCCTCCAGCTGGCACCTGCGCACTGCAGATACTCAACTGCTACCACAGGGGGTTGGTGTGCTCTTTGCTCTATGAAAAGGCGTGGCACACACCACACAAACATGGCCATAGATGTCCGCATTTCTTCATTAGCAAGCCCACCGGTCTCCCCTGCCCCCAACAGAGCTTCGAGGTGGAATATTTTGGTGGATGACCGGCTGGGAACGCTGGTGCCTGATGTGACTCAGAGAACCTGAAGCTTCAGTGCTAGAGTGGGCTGCAAGCAGAGAGGGTCACACGCGAGCAGCAAGGACAGCTGACTGTGAGCGACTGAAAATGTTATTTGTGTATTAAAACCAAAACCAACACACAATACACCATAAAGTCAATTCTCGTCATTAGTTGTTTGTACAAAATCTACTATTTCAATGAGACGTCATCTTTGCACTGGGCCTATTCGAGCTCCATCGCCCAAGGCCCCCAGCACGTAGGCCAGGATTGCATCCCCTGCCTTGGAGCACTTCCGAAAGGGGCTGGGCGAAAAACATTGGAGGAGCCAGGGCCAGAGCTGGCTGGGGCACAGGACATGCGTGGGCCCACTCTGGGGGTGAGGAGGGCCTGGCCGCAGGGTGCAGTGGGCTTGGCAGTGAGCCGAGGCAGTACCAAATAGGGCTGGACACCATCATGTCTTCATCTTCCTCCTCCCCCTCCTCCTCCTCGTCATTGCCTCAGGAGCTGTTAAACACAGATTCTCATCTCGACTCTACATCGGACTCTTCTGGGTGGGATGTGAGAGGCTCCAGAGAAGATGCTGCCGTGCTGGTCAGACCGGTGCACTGGGACCTCCTCAGAGGGCAGGTCACACAGACATGGCACCACGCAGGCCCATGGGCACAGGAAGGAGGGTCCCGGTGGCTCATGTGGGACACCACGCCCGGAGCTCCACACCGAGGAAGGGAGGGAGGGAGGGAGAGAGGGACAGAGGGTGGGGGCACCGCAGCGAAGGCCCAGAGGCGGCACCAGCTCATGGTTCACTTAACAGCTTCCTTCTCATCAGCTGGCGCTTTATTAAAGACATTTGTTTTTTAAATAAAACTAACTTCACTACCAAGAAATGGCTCCCACAGTCTCTAAGTAAAGGGTAGTGTGGCGAGCAGAGGGAACAGAGCAGGGCTACCTGGGGGCCCCGAGGCCGCAGCCCCAGCAGGATTTAATCTCACAGCTGCTCATCCCCCAGGGGACGAGCAAAAGGGGGTGCCAGGCGGTGTCTTAGGATCCACACAAATGGCCCACAGAAGGAAGTCAGAGTGCCTGAGAAAGGCGCCAGACTCCTCAGCCTTCGCTGCTGACCTCCCCTCAAACACTGTGCCTCCTGCGGTGGCAGAAGGTGACCAACCACACCCACGCCACCATGAAGGCTTCCCCGTGCCTCGGGCTCAGCCTCACGGCAGGCTTCCAACAGGGCACTTGTCTCTGCCCAGTGCCAGGCTACCCGGACATCAAAACTCCTAGATGCTTCCAGGATCACCCCACATGGGGAGCCTTCCCCTCTTCTTGGTTCTATGCCCACCTCTATGGAAGCATTCATCACGAAAGGGGCGTAAGTGCTTAGGGTCCCTGCCCACCCTGGGGTGTGAGCTGGTCAGGTGTGGGTCCAGGTCTGTGTCACCTTTGTTTCCCGGCCCCCAGTGCACACAGTGAGAGTCCGTGAGTGTCTGTCGGGTGACTGTGATGAATGAATGACTGGATGTATGAGTGCAGGGAGCAAACAGGTGACCGGAAGATGGACACAGTCCCAGCTTGACCCTCCTCCTCCTCTGCTTCTATTTCTCAACACAGCAACCGTGAGGAGTTCTCCAGCAACAAACACCCAGAAAGGTATGTTGTTTTCAAAGAACTTACAGAATCATTTCCAACTTGAAGTTAATCTGTGGCTACAAAACTAAACCAACAGAAAGTTCTAGGAGACCCCGAGGGGGCTCCGCCGTCCAGGCCTGACCTCTGCCCATGCCCCTTGGAGGGCAGAAGTCCACCCGAGCTGCCACCAGCCTCAGCTGCCTCCAGCGCACTGACACGGGGCATGCAGATTACTGTGGATTCAAGTCTGATAAACACTTTAAGCCAGCCATTTAGAAAATGACTACATTTACTCAACAAGGCCCTTTGCACAGAAAAAAGAAGAATGAGCTTCCATGAATATGCAGTTGGCTACCTGGGGAAGAACAGCCACAACAACAGTGACATGGCCAGAGGAAAAACCACTCCTGAAACAGAGCACCCGAGGAAGGAGGGGCCACGCAGGGCAGCCGGGACAGCAGCGTGACAGCAGCGCTCCGGGGCAGGTGCCTGGCCTGGCAGGTGGGCCTGGTTTTGCTGGCCTCTCCCGGCCCACAGTTCTGTGTGGGCATCTGGGCTGCAGCAAGTGGGTGCCACCTTGCACTGGCGTGAGTGAGGCTCTCCAGTGGAGACACGCTGAGGTCAGCAGCCTGGGGTCCCCTGGATGGGTGTCCCATGCACTCCATAATCAAGCCGGCTTGGCCAGGCTGTGTTGGGTCACCCAGCGGACCACTTGCCATGGAGCACCTTGCCATGGCAACCGTGGTCTCCAGCTGTGACACACAGCCACACCACGCATCCCTGTCTGGCCACTGCTCTGAAGGTGCTTGAGTGCTGCCAGGGCAGGGCCCCAGTGTACCAAGGCCGCAGTGTGACAGTCACAGAATAATAACCAGGACACAGGTGCAGAGCCCACATCTTATAAAGGAGGCTTCAAGCGAGCGACTGACCTGTTACAGAGCCTCAGTTCTTCCCTGTGGATGTGTGTTCCCACCCGCTCACTCTCCTCTCACTCCAGGCACCAATACAGTGAGAACCAAGCCTGGTGTGTGATGAGGCCTCTCAACCAAGCACTCACGGGGCCAGGCCCTGGACCCGGCCTAGGGGACCCAGTGTGAGCGGGACTTGCCAGAGGGTCTTATCCATTAGACAGACACTTCCTCCAGGGCAGGGACTTTGCCCGGGCCCAGAGACCGGCACCAAGGCAGGCCGTGGCCCATCCTGCGTGTGAGGCATGCAGGGCACACACTTGTTCGCCGGGCAACCTGGCGCCCAGGGTAGCCTCTGCCATGGATGAGGATGAGGTGAACACTGGGAAG